AATTTTTCCACAATGATATAAGTTGAGCTGACGTTTCCCCTGAATTTCACATAGCTTTGCTTTCACAAAAGTTGTTCTCATATAGGCAACAGTGGACTGCAGTTTCGACCTCGCATCGGTCTTGTCAGCACCCTCAGCCGGAGTCATATCATTGTGGGAATATTCTACTACCAGTCCTTCATCACCTTAGACGAAATAGGGTGAATACATCTCATTAGCGAATTACAGTCTATCCGCACGAGGACCAACGGAAATGATGGCAACCGGAGCAGTATCAAGCATTAAATAGTTCCTGGGGCCTTGAAATTGGAAATCATCAAGTGTCCGGCGAAATCAAGGATGCTTGCTATCCCGGACGCTGCACATGCTAGCCGTGGTTTATCCCAACATTATAGATACACTATTGCGATAGAAATATTGTCAAAGTTATAACGACACTGGTTACTTAAGTAGTGTAATACGCCCAACTAATAATATAAATAAATACAATAATGTAGGGGAGAGTTAACAGCCAACTTACCGAGGCCGTTCGCAAGCAGATGGTTACCAAACATCGTGTACCTTCCAATCTTTTTCCATTGTTTGGTCGCGACCTCTTGTATCAGCCGGTAGGAGTTGAGCACCACAATCCTCTTGCCGGCTGCAAATAAACACAATATGTCGCCATACTTCCGTTGTAGTTGATCTAGTTCTCCATGATCTAACAATGAAAGAGTAGGATCATAAGTGATATTTGCCGAAAGCCTTTTTGTGCCAGAGAAATCAGGGAAATGTCGCTGTACTTATAAGTCAAGAATGCTGTTTTAACAATTTATTATCGGTAATGCCATTTTTTGCACTTTCTTACAGGCCCATGAGGGCCTTTCTGAGAAGAGATTTGCTGTTGAGTCCTCGACAGATGGACTCAATTTGGTAGGCCTAGTGAAATAATAGTAGTGCTACCGGCGCGAGAGCCGGTTCTGAGCTCCTTGGAGGATGTCTACAAGACCCGGGCGATCTGGACACTGCAGTCCATTGAATGAGCCAAGCTTTAGTCAAGCCAATTTTACAAGACACCATGCAAAGGGTTAGCCCATGAACATCAGGTCTGTTTGAACGAAAGGGTGCGCGTAAAGGTCTCATTCTACCTTCGTAGTCCATATTTTCGTGGGTGGGCATCTGTGTACCTGTAGCCGTAGCCGTTAGCGTATCCGATTCTGGCAAAAAGACACATATAAACAGTCATGTGTACACAAGTGTACATGCACATGGGGCTCGCCAATCAGCAAAGAAGAAAAACTTGCGACATAACCTTAAATTTCGAAGGAAATGTTGGTTGGAAGGAATTCGTGATTTGGTCTCGCCTGAAACTGACAGAGGCTGCCGCGTGTCGAAGACTGTTGATATGTGCGAATAAATCCTCGGCTCTCCGTCCTACGACCGAGCTTTCGTCTGTACCGCCGTGACAGACATCATCAGAGTAATAATTCATAATTTACGAAATTGCGCAAAAATATACTAAACCAAGAGAAAAGGAAGCCGGCTACAACCCTAGTTACTTTTTATGCACCTAACCTTGATATCTTGAAGAGGTATCCCATTTTTTAGTTGGCTACCTCAAACCTACTCTACATGCTTGCAGATGATTGCAGTTACTTGACCAACTCGAAGTGCATTCGGTGACATCTGTTTCCTTACTCAAACAAATTACTATACTATCCTCTAATATTGACTCATGTTTGGGTATGTGCTATTGCCTATTGTGTGTATGTAATGTTCATGGCATGAGGGGTGGGATAGTCATAGCTAGACTCTGGGCTAGTTGTGCGTCTGCCAACAGTCTACTGCCATATGCTCACTCATAATTAGAGCGTACCATCTATCGAAGGTACGGTCACAGTCTCCTTCAGCAACACAGAATAGACCTGGCCTCGCTCTCACAACTTGCCATTCGGTTAGAGAATCAGAACTTTCTCCGGGCCAGCCAGAGAAGACGATTTCGAAAGTCTGCCTCGAATAATTCTCATTTTCTTTAAGTCACGGTCACCTTCAGATGCTAGCAAAGTTTGCCGTCTCTAAGCCTTATATCCTTAGGGAAAGCAAGTATCTATGGTCAAGTTGAGTCACCTACCTATTGGAAAAGTGAGGCAAAAGTAGCGCAAAAGCAGCCCAGGACCGGGTGGAAGATTTTTTCGTCCTTGGAGAAGGCTGGCAATGATCTGACGCACCACAAGATATCCGAGAAATACGCAGAGTATCTGAAAAGAGAGAAGTCTCAATCGTCACTCAATTACATTGTCATTTCATCCAGCCAAGATGAGCTAAACGAGTTGCAAGACCTGAGCGCATGCAAGCTTTGGATCAGAGCATTGCCGATAATTTTTTATTTTCGAGCTAATTAATTTTCTGGACTACAAATAATATGTGAATACGAATTCATACGAAGAAAAGTTGGGTTTCGAGAAATCTCTTGTTTCATAATTGTTGAGCTTAATTCCATTTCGAGTGGAAGTGTTGGGTGAAGAGATTCGAAGGCCGGTTCCACCAAAAGACGACGGCGGATTCCTCTTGACCAGCTGTCGATTGGCTTTACTGGAAGATTTATG